CGGTACGCGGGCCTCTCACTGTTGTGGCCTCGCCCGTTGCGGAGCACAGGCTCCAGACGCGCAGGCTCAGCGGCCATGGCTCACGGGCCCAGCCGCTCCGCGGCACGTGGGATCCTCCCGGACCGGGGCACGAACCCGTATCCCCTGCATCGGCAGGCGGACTCTCAACCACTGCGCCACCAGGGAAGCCCCATCCCTCCTTCTTGACTCCCTTTGTCTGGGCGAGGCCCCCAGTTGGAGTCAACTCCTAGTAAACACTCAGTAAATATTTGTTGAATGTATGAACACTACGAAAAGTTGGCTTGTCTGTGGCCTTCTACCTTTACACTGCTGTGTGACTTTGAGCAAGTCACCTCCCCTCTCTGTGCTTCAGTTTCCCAGCCTTCAAAATGAAGGGTTGGACTTGAACCTCCCTAAAGTCTCATCCAGACCTAGTGACAGAGGCCATCATGATTCCACTAACCTTGTGCCTTCTCTCCTTTCCCTTTGAAGATGACACCAAGTTGAATCCCTATGCAGAAGGAGAGGGTGAGTACAGAACTGCCTGCCCCTCTTCATCACACCACTGCCTCTTGGACCCGCCCTGGAAGAGGGTGCAGCCGTCACCTGGCTTCTTTGCTTTTACTCTGAGTGGGGGAGGGGGAAACAAGAGCAGCCTGCACTTCCCGGACTTCCTGCTGCGTGGAAAGGCAGGGGGCTTCTGGGAACAGACCCCCTAGACTGAAGGAGCAAATCTACATCCAGACATTTCTCATCTCAGCCAGGAACCTCCTGTGGTTCTTCTCCCGGCCTCTGTGCCCTTGAGTATCCGCTTCCCTGATAGGAGTGAGAGGAGGAAGTGAGGGCTAAGCTAGGGCAGGCATGGCTGTGTGGGCCTGTGGCCCTGGCTTCTGTCCCCAGGGGCCTCCCAGCCAATGAGGGGTGGAGAGCAGCTTCTCTCACTCAAGTGGCATTTGATCCCAACCTGGCTTGGCAGAGAGTACATAAACGTTGTCCACCACAATTTTTACAGGGTGCCAGAAGGTGGGGTCCCCTTTCCCCAGGACTGCCTGGGGGATAACCTCCTCTCTGGGGACATGGGGTGACCCCACCTCCCCTGCCCTTTGCCCAGAGCCAGCTCAAGCCCTTGCTGCAACTACCACAAACGGGAGATGGAGGAGCCTTCCAGCCCCAGGGGCTGGGAGACTGTTACCTGGGCTCCAGCAGGAGAGGAGGGGCTATTAACGCAGCACATCTTGATGGGGTCTCCCACGGGAGATGGAGCCATTGCTGCTCTGTGGGCTGTGGGTGTGAGTGTACACGTGTGTCTGTTGGGCTGGGGGGAAGCAGGGGGCCCTGGGCCACGTTCCCCTTACTCTGCACCATGTGCTCATCAGCCCAATCTCTGCCCCTCAGATCATAGGGTCACTGAAGGCTGAGGTCTGACGGCCACGGCTCAGGAGAGGCCAGCTTGGGGCATGTCATCGCAGCTCCCCCAGCTCTTAGCGGATAGAGGCATGAACCACGCACAGGAGTGCCCCAGGATAGTTTCTCTCCTGGGTTTTTTTTCTGCTGACAGAGAAAAGGGGATGGGGAACATAATGATTTTGGATGCACACAACATCTTATTAAAAATCTCTACCCCCTGTTGACTCCCATTCTACCCTAGCGGATATAAAGTGGATTCAACATTTGTGTTGCTTACATGATCATCTGTCTTCTCTATGTCGTTATTTCCACATCCTTTTAGGGTAGAGAGAAGGAGCAAAAGCCCACCCCAGGTAGTATCAGGGAACTAGGTTTCTTGGTGGCTGGCACTAACTGTGTCCTTGGACAAATCACTTCATCTCTCTGTATTTCCATTCCTTCAGCCATACTAGAAAGGGGTTGGACTGGATGAGCTTCCAGCTCGATAGTCTACGGAAAATACCCAGTCTTCTCCTGGGGAATGTATTTCAAATGCTTGGAATGTTCACAAAGAGTGTCTGCTGGTTTATTAGCCCTCCGAGTGTCTAGTTCATTTCTTTTATTGAGTTCCTCTGATGGGTCTGCCAATTTTTCTAAGAGTTGAAAACACAGAGATGAATAAGACACTGTCCTTGCCCTACAGGAGGTCACAATCTGGTAGTGGACAGTGACAGGTAAAGATGTGGTCATTTTGCTATCATAATAGCTAACACTTTTTAAAGTTGTCCAAGATACCTGCCGTGATCCTCAGCAGTTGACATGAATTATCTCATTTTCACCCTCTCAATAACCCCACCAGGTACTTAACATTATTATCCTTGTGCTACAGAAACGATAACCGAGACACAGAGAAGTTAAATAATTTGCCCAAGGTCACACAGCTCGTAAGTAGCAGAGCCTGGATTTGAATCCAGGCAGCCAGACTCCAGATCCCAACTCTTAACCATCACATGCCCTTTATGAATTCCTTAAAAGAACTTATATGGGATGGGTACTGGAGAGAAACTTTATGATCCTTAGTAGACATTTGGGCAACTTTTAAGTGATTTTGGAAAACCACCCGAACCGTGCTAAGAGCAAAGTTAATGTCATACTCATAATGGTTCCACCGATTCCACCTTTTCATGTATTTGATAAGTAGACCTGAAGGTTCAGTCAGCTTTCATCTCTGGGACTTTGTCAGAACCCAGGACCCCATGACCCCACCTTCCTGGCTCCCCTGACCTAATGGTCTCTCCACAGGCCTTCAGAACAACCTGTCCCCCAAGACAAAGGGCCCCCCCTTGCACCTGGGCACCATCGTGGGCATCGTGCTGGCCGTCCTCCTCTTGGCGGCCATCATCCTGGCCGGGATCTATATCAGCGGCCACCCCACCTCCAACACTGCGCTCTTCCTCATCGAGGTCAGTGCAGGATTGGGCCGCCTCTCCGGCGTCTGCATCTGCATCAGTGTTTCCCCAGCCTTTCAGTACCTGCCTCTCCCCATCTCATCCCTCACCCGCCACGTGCCAGCCTCCTGTTTCCACCTGAGGGACTTCATTGACTCCATCCAGGCACATCTTGCACTGGCGGGCACTCTCTGAGTCCCTAACCCCCCAGGGCTTGACCCCTCAGGACTCCTCCAGTCCTCTTGTCCTGTTGAACAGCCTCTGCTTTTGCGCTCCCATTTGTGAAATCAGAACAGTCCCCAGAAGAAAGAAAGAGGCCAAAAATGCCTCACATGCCCCTTGAGTGTTGTGCAACCATCCCTAATGATTTATGCTCTCTCACACCCAAATTCCAGGCCTGGTGCTTATTCAAAGCCATAATGGAATTGAGGTCTCTGCCTCTTGGCCTGCTGTGTGCGATTTTCGATTAGATTTGACAGGCCATAGTAATCATGAGAGTTGCTCTGTCTGGGAGCTTTTGTTGAGGATGCTGCAGTTTGCAACATCTCAGGATTCAGAAGAGTCAGCCTGAGGTGCAGCGTGGGAAGTAAGGCCTGGGCCCCTTCACTCTGGGCCACAGAGCTCAGCAGCCCCTGCCCCAGCACCCCACTCTCGGCATCTGACCAGCTCTCTGAATCCTACAGTGATAGGGCCTCTGGGACTGCAATCCTCCACATGGGTCACAAGCCCCCAACCTCATCACGCAGAGGCCTAGGTCGTTCCCTCCTCTCTGTTTTTTTTTTTGCAGTACGCGGGCCTCTCACTGCTGTGGCCTCTCCTGTTGCGGAGCACAGGCTCCGGACGCGCAGGCTCAGCGGCCATGGCTCACGGGCCCAGCCGCTCCGCGGCACGCGGGATCCTCCCGGACCGGGGCACGAACCCGTGTCCCCTGCATCAGCAGGCGGAATCCCAACCACTGCGCTACCAGGGAAGCCCCCTCCTCTCTGTTTAGATGCCCCCTGTTTCTTATGAATTCTAACCAGTCATTCTTAGGTTAAGATTAAGACCTACTGAGGCTAAGTCCAACCTTGTTTCACCTGGGGAAACTGCAGATCCCCAGTCACAGGGATGCTGACCAGAGGTCTGGTGCAGGCCTGGGAACCTGCATTTCCTTCAGCTCCCCAGCTCTGATGCAGGACCTGTACTGTCTGGAGGGTTATCTTAGCGTTTCCAGAGCCTCCCAGATCATTCCATCTCTTACCCACTCCCTCACTTTCCACAGTCTCAGGACTCCACTCAGTGTACTGCTGAGCTTTTCACCTTGCGTCCTGCAGTCCACACTGCGAGGAATAAAATGACCTCTTCCTTCCCAACTCCTGGGGCTCCCAGCAGGTTTCCCAGGGTCGCGAAGGATCACAGCCGGGAGCCTTCTGGGGGAGAGGGCCCTAAACTTCACCCTCCGCCAGCACCTTTGAGAAGTGCTCAGAGCCGTCCCCCGGGGGAAGGGGGAGGGGGGGAGGGTCCCGGGCGAGGGATCGCGCCCGCTGACTCTGCACCTGTGTCCCCGCAGCGGAGACCTCGCCGCTGGCCGGCCATGAAGTTCCGCAGCCACCTTAACCACTCCACCTACACAGAAGTTGAGCCCTCAGGCCACGAGAAGGAGGGCTTCGTGGAGGCCGAGCAGTGCTGAGAGCGCCAGGTCTCCCTTGGAAGGGTAGGAAGGAAGACCCGGGGACCTCAGCAAACATGAGTCAAAGCAGAGCAGAGAAGTGACTTTCCTTGGCCTCCTCTGAACACACCCTGGCTGGGAAGATGAGCCCATGGTCTGTGGTGCCAGAGCTATAGTTTGGCCATCACACCCCAACTCTTGAAGCAGGAGGCAGAAAAGCAACCACATTGAATTTTTAAGGAACAGTAACCTAATTTCAGCCTGTTTTGATGCCAGGGGTCTTCCCTTCTGAGTCTCTCAATGGTCTACTCTGTAGCTGCCTCAGAGGTCCCCTCCTACCTGGAGATGGCCAGATACCCTGCTCCGGTCACCTAACGCCCTTACATATGACACAAGAGAACTCAGCTCTACATTGGGGCCGCTGTATTCCAGGGTCCATAGACTCAAGAGCTGGTCCTCAAGGCTATGGATGCAGCATATTTTGCCCCAGCTTCTGTGCTCTGGAAGTCTGAAGAAGGAGTTCTCTCCATCTGTTAAAACACAGGTATGGCTGCTCCCAGCCCTTTTGGTAAGCCACTGGCTGGCATGCTGGCATCAGAAGAAAGCCAAATAAGAGAAGAAAGAACTTGTGGGAAGATTGTATTTTGAGGCTTCACTACCCCAGCTTGACCTTTCTGCTGAGACCCAGAACTTCTGCAACAAACATGTGTGTTGCCTGTGTTGCGGGCTTTATCCAACTGCAGCCCAGCCCAAGGCTGGCAAGCCGTGCTGTGCATGGCCACGTCTACCCTGCGGGCTCTTCATTCCAATGGCACGTTTGGTGTCCACTGTATTCACTGGCCTGGTCTTCTGTCAGTGCCAGTAAGTACCTCCAAAGGCAGGGCCTGCCTCATTAATATTTTTCCTCCTCTGAGCTGGAATTTTATAGCCATTAAAGAGAAACAAGGTGGAGAGAGGGCTTCTTGAAACATACCCAGCAGGGAACTTCAGTTGGATTCTGTTGAAAAGCAAAGCCTCCAGAGGGATTGGGATAGAGGAAGCTGGTGTGGGAAAGAGGGACTTTATACATAAGACCTTGACCTGGAAAGTTGCTTGCATCTCCCCAGCTCTGCCGGAAGTTCTTGGGGCAGAGAGTTTAGGCTCCCAAACTTAACCTGGTTTTAAGGGAGTTCTGTCCCAGGGATGAGTTGGGGTTGCTTCTGAAGAGGATTTCAAGTGAAAACCTATAGTTCACCCTCATTCAAAGTAAAAAAACATCATCAGCAAATAAATATTAAATCACAGTCTCCACTTAGTCACATCCTTTTATGCATGTCACCGGGATGCTGCCAAAGAAAGAAGTTAGTTTAAATACAAGACCTCATGAGGCAGGGGTAGGGAGTCTGCAAATAACCAGGCACATCCAAACACTGGGCTGAAGGTTTTCCAGATGTTTCATAGTTTATCCTTGGTGAGGATGGTAACAATCAGTGGGAAACATGCTGGACCTCGGCTATTTATATGTATTCTTCATAAACCAGGCAAGGAATAGCTATGTTTTGAGAAATCGTATCAGAATTTGCGAAAGTAAAAAGATAATGCAGCAAAGAGAATAGGGTTCTTTTCAAGATTCTGAAGGACAGAAATGTCTGAAACAGAGATCTCTTAGTGGGAAAATTGTAGCCAAGCACTGAAATACTCTGGGCTCCCAGCACTGCTGGCTGGCGGGAGGGTGATTTTTGCCCATGCCTGACCAGCAGAACATCTATGACCTTTGTGTGTCTAAAATGGCCAGTGGGGCAGTCCCCATTGTGGCCAAATGCAGTGCACAGCTCCATGGATCCTACTCCCAAACTCCAGCACACTTCGTCCCAATGGGAGCTCTTCCGAGAGCTGATTCCTGGAGGGGAAGAACACAAGAGTGAAGAAACGGGCGGTGATGTCCTGAGGTCTCTGCCGGTAACACTGCAGGTAGAGAGAGAAAGCATGAGATAGCTCGGACCAGTCACAGCAAGCCTAGCTGGCGCCTGGGATGACAGTGGTGAGGGCAGTGGAGCTGTTTGGCAGCAGGTAGCCTGGTTTGTTAACAGCAAAAAGAAACTAAAGATGTGTCCCTAAGAGAGGTCCCTGGACACTAAGAGTCCCTCAAGCCACAACAAAGTGCTCCTAGGAAACAGCCAGCAACTCGCAGACTTAACACTGGTTCCCAGATATCCTTAGGATCTCTCCCAAGATCAAGCATCTCTTAGACCCAGGAGTTTTACTCCAAGGTTTAGAGCGGGTTCTTTGGGTAACTATAGAGAGTGACTCACCTGCACGGTGAGTGACCAGAAGGAGACAGGGGTTTCATGGTCAACCAGCAAAGTGGTACTTCTGTGCTGTGCTGTGCACAATCAACCACAGAGAGCTTGCAAACTTCCGGTCCCCTCCACCCCACAGGCAGATACAATTACTGTGACAGGACGCTTCAACCCCTTGAAACAGCTGTCTGTGTTGTACCCAGAAATCAGAAGCTCTCAGGGAGGCTCTGTTTTACACCAGAACTCTTAAGAGAGCCAACAAGAAAATAATAACAATAAGAAGAATACAGAGGCCAAGTGTGAGAGGAGACCCCTGGATCAGGCTGTGAGCACAACTTAGTTCCCCTTTAATCAGCTGCCCCTAGATTTGTGGATCTGTCCAGTCAGGTCCCTGGGGTTTCTGATTCTAGAACATGGGTGCATATAAGCCCAGCCACCAACCCCAGTACCCAGAAATGCCCCAGGAAGAGCAGATGGGGTTTTTCAAGCTTGACTAACTGGCCGTCTCCCTTCCACATAATTAGGTATCACCAGCCACTCACCCCAGCTGGCCCCTGACTCTGGAAACTGCCTCTTCAGGTCTTCAGGTCTCAGCCTGGATGGAGCCTGAGGTTGAAAATGTCCTTTTGTCCCTGTTAGAGGTTCTCGGTAGACCTATGGAAACAATCTTTAAAATTTGTGTGTTTTGCCAGGGCTTGCCTGTGTCATGTGTTCTTGTATGTATATATTTAGGTGTCTATCTATATTTATAGATAGATAGATAGATTATTGCTAAAAACATTGGATGAGGCTTGTAGCTGTGCTCAGCCTGTAGCTTGTTGTATTATATTAAGACAGTGGCAAAAGCTGCCAGCCAACCACACTATGTGAAAAGAAGAGTGTTCACCACCAGAGCTGATCACTTATTTCGTTGTGGGCAGAGCTAAGACTCTGTTCTCTGGGTACAGGAACAGATAAGAGATCTGCATGAAGCACTGATCAGGGGCCACACCCAGACTCCCTACACCAGGTGGAGTCACAAATAAAATCAGCCTCTCTCTCTCACCATCTCCACCCTACCCCACCCGCAATGAAAAGCCACCTGAACTTACAGCACAATTCGAAGGATCTGGGATCTGAGGGCACACTAGCTGTTCTAAATGCAATGTATTGACATATTTAGCGTGAAAATTCCTTGCACGGATTTCAGTGTTAATAAAAGGCAACGTTCATTTACGAATTCTGCCATGTGCAAAATTAAATGCAAAGGATTTTGTGTGACATTCTACAAATCCTCACACAGACTTTAGTCCTGATGACTGCCAGCTTCTCTAAGGACTGAGCTAAGGAGCAGAGGAACAGCCTCCAGCAATCTGCCCACCAGGGGTGCTCTTCCCAAACTCCTGTCCCACCTCAAGAGAAACAGCCTGGAAAGAGACTCCAGCTATTTATTCGTGGTTTGTAAGTCCCCGGAAGTAAACCTCATGGGTTTCTAATCTACTATCTCGAAATACAGAATAAATGTGCTAAGTTGACACTGCCACATTTCTGGAGGCTTTGCATTTGAACCACTTTAGTAGCCTCGTCGTTTTTATTACTTTGCATATTTTGCTCACAAAACATGGTTAAGCAAACCAAAACAAAAAGAGGAAAAATCTGAACTCCTTACAGCCAAAATCAGCTATGCCAAATTTCAGGCTCCAAAAAAGCCAATTTATAAATAAACATGCTGTGTTTGCCGAATAAAGAGGAATGTGTTAGAGAAGGCCATGTGGATTGGTGAGAAAGCCCCCCAGCTGCTCCACAGTGCATCAGGAGGCGGAGCTGCAGCCCCAGCCCTGCCCCTGAGGAGCTGTGTGTTGTCGGCCAAGTCGCCCCACTTCTCTGGGCCTCTGCGAAATCAGGGGGTGGAAGGACTAATTGATCTAAGGAGGGGATGTTTTCCTCTCCTTAGCAAATACGCTCATCTGTTTCTGTTTTGTTTTGTTTTTTTCTAGTTCACAAGCAGCTCAGATGGAAGCATCCCTTTCGCTTCCATTACCTTGGTGAAGTGATCAACTTTGTTTGCCCGGGACTTCCCTGGCTCTAACACTGAGAGCCCTGTGTCCCAGGAAACCCCCTAGTCGAGAGCCCACTGGGACAATTGGTTAGTCTATCCTTGGAGTCTATCCTGACCCCATGACTTACCTATTCAAAGTGTGGTCCACACAGGAATCCCCTGGGGGTCAGCTGGAAATGCAGAACTCAGGCCCACCCACCCCAGACCTACTGAGTCAGAACCTGCATTGGAGCAACTCCCCAGGTGACTGAAGTGAAATGCATGAACATTTGAGAAGCATTTCTAGGCAACAATTTTACTGACATGATCACAACCTGTCGAGGGGGGTGGGGGGGTGCGGAATTATTTCTCAGATGAGGCTCAGATGAGGCTCAGACAGGTGGTTTACTTATTTATTCATTTGATCAATACTCATTAAGCACATACTGTGTGCCAGGCATCATTAAGTGACTTGCCCAAGGTCACACGGCTAGTGAGTAGCTGAGACAGTCCCCAAACCCAGGACTTTGGATTCCCATCCGGGTTTGTTCCCCGGTACTGCGGGGTGATGCCAGAACCACGTGGCCACAGTGTAACAGGGAAGCTGATTGTAGATTAAACAGAGCCCTTCCAGGCCTGTAGAGAGTCTCAAGAAGATGTAGAACAACAATGTCAGATACATACTCTAGGGACTTTCTTGGCGGTCAGGTGGTTAAGACTTGGCGCTTCCAAAGCAGTGGACACGGGTTCAATCCCTGGTTGGGGAACTAAGATCCTGCGTGCCATGCGGCACAGTATGTACTTTTGGGTCCTGAAACCGTGAGTTTATCATCTATATATTTACACAGCCCAAGATCTTAAAAATATCTTCATTTTTACTGCTTCCTTCTCACCCGGATCCCCACTCCAGTGACCCTCCGGCGTGAAGATTTGGAAACACTCTCCGTAAGGCTTTACAGAACACCAAGGCACGCCTTGGTGCTTATTTTCTTGAATGGAC